CTTTTGATCAATCTATCATTGCTTGGCTAGATGCAACAGAAATCCTTTCAGGACAGTTCCAACATTTGTTCCACTAACATCCGAATCTGTGTGGGGTTTCTCGGTGGTACTCAACCATTACCCCACAACAAATTAAGAAGATAATAACTCAAATTTTTTTGTAAAATCCCAAAAATTTTTTCTTTGAAAACAACTTTTTTTAAGTAAAGGGTTTTTCTGAATCCTCAGTTGTAAGCTTTCCCACATAAAAATATCAGATTAGATAAAAAGTATTTTTAAAAATTTATTTTTATGGCTTTAGTGCCTTTTTTTCTTTCTTGCCTTTTTGCCTTTATTAGTCTTTTTTCTTTTCCTGTTAGTTCCCATCCAGCCTCATCCATCACCTTAATCCACGGAACGATTCTCGATTTTCCTCACCCCATTTGCAATTATTTATGAACTTACCTTGAATTTGACCCTTTCCGGCATCTTCACCTTTTGAGATAAAAGTTGAACTTTTCCTAATCAAGCGAGCTCTTGAAAGACATTGTATTGAATCTCCTTGGATTTAAATTCTTCATTTCATTCTGCTCTGGTCAAACAAATTACGAGGAAGCATTGTTTTGCAGGTACGTGGCTCGTCGAAAGGATCCATTCCTGAGTGCCGATAATCCAGATTTTGACCATGATCGCAAAAAGGACATTTGCCAATGGGAGTGAGTTCATTTCCATTTCATTCATAGTTATGAATTAAAATCGATTTATTTTGGATGGAATGGGTGAAGCATTCGACATCCTCCATATCCACACTCGTAAGGCTTCTAAATTGCGGCACTTTGTTTAAAATCTTCTTTTATTAGCGGCTCACCGCATTTGGATAGGTTAGTTTCGTGTGTTTGCGTTCACTCTATGATCACTCAGCTCGAACAATGGATTTTCCTGTATTGAAGTGTATTGTATACCTCTCAACATCCGATTTACTTGAATGGCTTTTCGCCGGTCTGAAATCGTTCGTGGATTTTGAGATTTTGAGGTGCAAAAAGTTTCTTTAAATTTCGGCGCCGACTCATTCTCGCCAACCCAATCGTAATCAAAAGGGAAGAGGTCCGGACTTGGGGAACGCGCTAAAAGTTCCCAAACAGCGCTATTTATTTTAGAGCGAGTCAGTTTTGCAACTGAGGGCGCGCGTTGTCGTGGATGAGACCAATCTGTGACTTGGAGGGCCTATTCTTCTTCAGGCTCATTAGTCATGGTCCAGAACTTCCCTGTATTTGATTGCATTAACGGTCGTCTTGCTAGTGTGAGACTCAAAAATGGAGGACTGGAGATGTCCCAGTTTGAGCATTTGAGCACTTTCTTCAAAAGAAACCCGTTTTGGTGTCAATAGAAACGTTGTAGAGAATCGAAAGTTTTAAGTTTAAATTAATTAGACTTATAGCGCCTCAACTTAACAAAAGATTCATTTTTTCACAAAATCGATAAACTGTCATCTAGAGTAGGGATCTTCCTGGAGGGATCTTCCTGAAAATTTGGTAAGTTAATTGAGTGTGCTCTATCTTTTTCATATAAACACCAAAAAGGTTTATGTAGAAGAAACTGTTCAAGCAATGGGGCCGGACTCTTTTTTGTCATTTTAATTAGCCGTGTTTGGGATCCATAAAATCCCAAAAGAAAAGCTTAGGAATCTCTCAAAAGCTATTTATAAAGAAATAGTCGACCATTTTGATGAAACAAAACGCGTATTTAAAGAAGTTGTCGGCGGGTGTCTTTTACCTCGGCGCTGACTCCATTCTCCTCAAACCAAGTAATCAAAAGGGACAGCACAAACCCCAAACAGCTATTTATTTTAGAGCCAGTCAGTTTTGCAACATGAGGGCGCGCGTTGTCGTGGATGAGAACAATAAGATTTTCTTATATTTTAACCCTTAAAGCTCTTAAAGGCTTGAAATAAGCCCGGAAGCTTTATCACTGTCACACAATAATTGGCAGCCTCTCAAAACCCTTCAAACAGCCTCTCAAAACTTATCATCATATACAACTAATAGCCTAACAACTCTATAAATCTGTAAATCATTCTTATTGCAGTTGTTCTAGTGAAGAAGTAGAGAGAAGATTGACAAGAAACCGGGATTAGAGTTTGGTAATAAGTTAAAATATTATCGAGGTATCGAAAAAAGTGGCCGCAAAACAAAAGCAATCAGCCACCTCAAGTTGGGTTTTCTTGTGGCTTTCAGATCGAATCAGTGCACAGAAAACCTTTGTTTGATGGCTGGGAAGCTCATTGAGAACGATCTAAACTTTTTTGCTGTTTGAAACATCCCAAACTTATGGCTAATACTTTAAAGTAAAAACCTAAAATTGTGCCAGCTCTACCTGTGAAATCTCCACGAGACAGCGAATTTTCGAGTTGTATGTAGAAGGTTGGTTTTCGAGCTTTGGCCGCTTTGGCCAATCATGTGAACGCTGAGGTGCACGCCGGGACGATCACCACAAAGCAGAGTGTAATGGAGTACCTCGCAGGCACCTATTTCCACCGAAGACTCTTTGCGAATCCTAAGTACGGCTAAAAAGTTCTTTTTGTAGGTCAAAATCATGTCCAAAAGTTGGATATAAATAAGTCGATATTCTATCTTAACATTTCTCTTTCAGTTTCTGCGTCTGCGCATCTTGTAACTACATTCGACAATTGCAAAAGGATCGAGATGTAAGTGAAAAGAAAAAAGTCTCTAAGCAAGGAAAAGCTTTCAGGGCATATATAACAACAGAACAAATCGGACATATTAAGCGGCGAAACAGTATTCCGATCGAGTCAGGGCGAGTCGGGGAATGGCTTGGCTTAGATTGGCTTCCCTATTCTATTAATTGTTTTTTTACAGCTACATACCTTGGCTTTGAGTTTAAACTATTAGTGTTATACATTTTCTGAAAGGTCTTTTTAAGGCCGACCAAGTGGTAATTTTATTATTTAGTGCTAAAACTAGGAAGTTGCAGACCCGGGAAAGTGACGATCTTTTTCAAATATTATATTTCATTAGTGTAGATACCTGTTAAACGAGTAGATAAAGACTAAGGATACGCATTTTTTTAACGCAAACCTACGAACTCGAAGAGATCTTGGCGAAGAATGGCCTCAAGGGGCCCACCGAAAGTTCTTCCTCCACTCCCGGCCATCCCCTCCGCCCCTCGATCAATCAAACAGGAGCAAGGGAGCCCAAATCAAACCCCATGCGGATCACTTGAAGCAATCGTTCAACTCTTCTCGTTGACTTCCCCTCCCGAAGACATAACAATCAATCGGCTCCCGATTGGGCACTAAAAATCAGCAACTAGTAACTGGAACCCCCTAGTTCTATATTTGTTCTTTTTTCGTTATTTTTAGTCCTCATCCGGGTTTATGTCACAACTCTCTGAGACGACGTCTGCGATGGCGATCGCCTTCCGCTAGGGATGGATTCCACCTTGGGTTCGATCAATTTTTGGCTCAAAGTCCATAAGGTTATCAGCCAATGGAGGTGGAGAAGTTATAGAAATATCAAACAAAACTTCGTCTAATTATATTCTATTGATTGTTTACAATATTCTGGTTTTTTCTTGGGTGCATAAACGAACTCGGAATTTCTATAATTTTTTAATAAAAAAATATGCACAACAAAACGAAAAATTTCAAGTAACAACAACAAAGGCGGGTGCGTCTAAGGATTTGAAACGGTTGATTTGGCAAAAAGTTTCTATTGTGAAAATTTTTACTTTTTACAGTCTGCTTCTTTTTCATGTTTTTAGGTTTTGAGACATGCTCTTTCTGATAGAAAAAGATTAATAGTTGTAGCGGTGGTCAAAACGCAAAATTCGCTGTTTTAGAGGGTGCGTTTCAGAATTTAAAGCGCACTGTATTACCCCATAATGGCGGTGCGGTTTTCGTTTTGCTTTGATAAAATCGGTTATGATACAAGAGCGTTAGAGACGGGCAGTTTTAGAAAATCACTTTATTAAAACTGCGAATAAAACTAATGATGTTATTGTTCTAACCACAATCCTCCTCTTGATGATCCCACGCATCGTTCGGGTGTTAACGGTCCTCCTTGGTCCTCTTCTGAACATGTCCTTCATCTTTCCATTGCCTTACAAGCTTCCGGATGGTCCTCAGAGCTGGCTCAAGGATTCCTGGAGAAAGTGGGTTTAATTGGAATAAATCTTATCAAACAAAAGCTTTTTAAATAAAAAATATTGATAAATCGTAAAAAGATATGACTTTTGAGTAAAGTGCTTAGGTTATAAAGAAAGCGAGCAAATGACTGCGTGAGGAAAAGTGTGGAAATGCATCGATATTTGGACTGAATTCAGCCATTTCACATATTCTTTAGCGTGCTCAGTTTTCAAAAGACATTTGCGCTGCTCAAGAAAAGTCTAGACAAGAATCTTATTGGTAAATGCTAAATTAAATGTGAAATCGAAGAAAGTGGGTTTATTTTGTTTCGAGGGCTTCTATCCACTCAGAAACCTAAACGTATTCAGCAAAATTAGGATGACTTTTCAGTGATGGCTCGAATGGATCGCCTGGATTTAATTAGAGAGAGGTTGGGTGCCAATAACATTCCACCAGTTTTGCCAGGTAAGATCTTTTCAATTTCCCATTCAACAGCTATTTTCAGTCTCCTCTGCTCCCGTATTGGTTGCCGCCCTTCCACAGGTGGATTGTTTTTCAAAGCTAATTTATGATTCTTTTTAGGTCAATGTTACGGGTGCTTCAATAGAGAATTCTCCACCCACTTCAGCTGATCCACGAGCAGTCAAAAATGTGAGTTTGTTTAAAGTTTAGCTATTAATAGATCAAAGCGTCCACAAACGTTTCATTGCAAAGAAAGAATCCACCTTCTCTACCATCATGTTTACTCGATCGAGGCATCAAGGTATGAAGCGGGTAGTTTATTGGCGTATTAACAATGTTTAGATCGAGAAAATCATGAAACTTTTTCGTGAAAAATGAGCTGGTGGGGCTGTGCAAATACAAGAACTGTCTAGTAATGCAAATTGTTACCGTCGAAAAGATTAAAGCAGTAGACCCACAGGTAAGCATATGTTTGTTATGTTTTACTAATGGCTACAAAAGGGATGTTTTTATACAACCCAGCATAGGAAGCATTACAAGGGACCACAAAGGGACACAAAATGGCAAAGATTATTGAATTTGAAGGTTTTGATGTTTTTCCTTGTTGTTTTCATTAATTTCTTAATTTGTTTTTGCGCTAACTTAATATACAAGAACTGCAGAAATATTCTAGTTTTTTTGCCATGTCTATATAAAGTGTTGTCAAATAAAGAAAATAATTCAATGCAGGACTTGGGATTGGGTAAGGAGCAAGGAAAAAGAGGAAAAAATAGAGAAGAGGAAAGAAGGAGAAGAGTGGTGGTGCAAAGAACGAGGTGATAAAAAAATAAGGGATAAGATTAGATTTGAAATGATTGAAAATGAATAAGTGTTCCCTATCTAAATCCCATACACCCAAGTTCAAATTTTATTCGATTCTGAGAGGCAATTGGGACCGGTTCGGATAATCGTTTTGGTTCCGATACGGTTCAAGATTTTGAGAAATGCATTCGTTATTTATTTTTTAGCTTAGGACTTCGGCTCGGTAACAATTGTTCCTCTCAAGAAAGAGACGAGCGCTCAAATTTTTACAGTATTTGACAAAGGAGATTTACCTGAAGATATTGAGCCTGTACAACATGGATAAAAGGCTTAGGTTGGGTAGCTTGCATATTAATAGTGTTAACGAGGACTCCAGGTAGAAATGTTTCTGTAATACGACGTCCAGACATTGGCCAACCTTTCATGAAGGTTTCTTTTTTAATTTTAAGAGGATCATAGTTATAAGTTAACAAAGATTCAAAGAATGAGACACTGGACAGGACGGGTTTTTCTCTTTGTTACTAAAATACCTATGCAACGCTATAAAAATATGTCTTGATCAAAGATTGGAAACTCTTACTGTTTGAGTTTTTGAAGTAAATCTTCAAAGTTTAGGGCTTTTCCGGAGAGGGATCGGATATGGTTTACTTGTTGCCTACATTGCTGATATGGTTGCGGCAAGTGATGTACAAATCGATCTACTCATAGCCGTGGCTTTTGGCCTATCGTAGAAACAGTTTTGTTACAATATCTCGACTTAATTAACTGTTAGTAGGAATGAGAGAAAACTCCAGACAGAATCCGGGGAAGAGCTGGCTTTGAGGAATTGAAGAGAGAGCGGCCGCTTCGTCGATGGAATTCCATACGGTGAAATGTCTCTCCTAAAAAAGTGGAAGAAAATCGGGAACGAATTTCGAGGTAAACTATAATAGTTATGCTGAACTTTTATTCTATTAACAGGATTGTTCAACCCCTGTCAACCAATTCTCTGATGAATCACTTGGATCGGTGCTTTGGTTTCGCGTTACATGGCGCTGGATGTTGAGTGTTCGATGGGAGAATTACAAGGTTCGGTTTTTCGAAATGATTCGTTAATTATTCTTTAGCTTAGGACTTCGGCAACTTATTTATGGTTGGCAGCGGTGCTGATAAACTTTGTGCTGCTTTACCTCGAGACATAGGCATTTGATTTGAGAAAATATAGTATATTAGTAGCAAGTAGTAAGTAATAATGCAAGTAGTATATTTGCTAATATCTTGTCCCTTTTAGCAAACCAACATTAACCAAACCGATTTACCTAGGACGGCGCGATGGGTTTGGCTGATGAGTTGGAAGCAGAATTGATCCGCTCAGGAACACAAAAGGGTCTCAAGGCGCACGGGTGGCAATCGAGCATCAACGCATCATAAAGCTGAGGTTGAAACAAAGTTTGGCAGTAAGGCTACAAAATCTGATTTCCAGGCACTGGAATCGATTGGTTCTTCTCTTTCTTCATGGCCTAAACAATTTTGATCGAAGTTTAGCAAAGAATATGCTCGAAAAAAAGCAATTGCATTTTTTAGAGATGGGAAGATGAAAACAACGCACACCGGAAGCATATACTCGACCTATTACCTTCTGGTCATAAATGTTTTGCAAAAGTTCGAAGACTCCTGGTTCTGGCATTAAGATTCTGGCTTTTTATCCTTTTGCCAGGTAAAATCCAGGGGAAAACCAGTAGATCCTGGCTTAATTCTTTTACAAGGTAAACAGGAAAACCAGTAGATTCCGGCTTTATTCAGTTCTACAAGCTTAGCCCTCAATGGAAAACTAGTAGATTCTGGCTTTATTCTCTTGCCAGGTAAAATCTACGCGGAAGAAAGTAGATTCTGGCGTTATTCTCTTTTACAAGGTAAACAGGAAAACCAGTAGTCTTATCCTTCCCTTTCCCCCCCATCTTCTTCCTCTCCCCTCTCTACCCTCTCTTCCTTCCTCCTCTTCCCCTTCCCTCCTTCCCCAAAAAATTTTGCTCAAGGGCATCTGAAAACGCGGTGGGTTTGAAATATAATTCATTCGAATAATCACCTACTGGTTTTTCTTTGCAATATAATACGACAATTTATCTCGAAAACGTCAATGGCTAAGTCCAGGAGTGACTTCTAAACCGAGACCGATACCAGAACAGCTCTTCTCTGTGTTTGTGGATTAACCAAGGATCATCAAGAGTGAGGATCGTGGTTAGTACAATTACACATCATTAGTTTTATTCGCAGTTTTAATAAAGCCATTTCCTAAAGCTGCCTGTCTCTAATGCTCTTGTATCATAACCGATTTTATCAAAACCAAAACGAAAAACCGCACCGTCATTATGGGGTACTACAGTGCGCTTTAAATTCTTAAACGCACCCTCTAAAACAGCGAATTTTATGTTTTGACCACCGCTACAACTATTAATCATTTTCTATCAGAAAGAGCATGTCTCAAAAAACCTAAAAGCATGAAAAAGAAGCATATACTTCGTAAAAAGTAAAAAATTAATTTTCACAATAGAGACTTTTTGCTAAATCAACTGTTTCCAAATTCTTAGAGCCACCCGCCTTTGTTGTTGTTACTTGAAATTTTTCGTTTTGTTGTGCATATTTTTTTATTAAAAATAATAGTGGAGAAATAGAAATTCCGAGCTCGTTTATGCAACTCCAAGAAGAAGCCAGAGTATTGTGAACAATCACTAGAATATAGTTAGGATTTAAGTTTTGTTTGATATTTCTATATGTTTTTTTTTTTGTGTGTGAGAGAAAAAAAAAGGGGGGGGGGGGGGGGGGGGGGGAAGAGGGGCCACTGCAGACGTCGTCTCAGAGAGTTGTGACATAAACCCGATGAGGACTAAAAATAACGAAAAAGAGCAAAAATATAGAATGGCAAAAATTTGGGGGACCTAGCACTAGTTGCTGATTTTTTAGTGCCCAATCGGGAGCCGATTGATTGTGTGTCTTCGGGAGGGGAGTCACGAGAAGAGTTAGAGCGATCGCTTACAAGTGATCCGGCATGGGGGTTTGATTTGGGTTCCCTTGCTCCTGCTTGATCGATCGAGGGGCGGAGGGGATGGCCGGGAGTGGAGGAAGAACTTTCGGTGGGCCCCTTTAGGCCATTCTTCTCGCCAAGATCTCTTCGAGTTCGTAGGTTTGCGTTAAAAAATGCGTATCCTTAGTCTTTTATCTACTCGTTTAACAGGTATCACACTAATGAAATATAATATTTGAAAAAGATCGTCACTTTCCCGAGTCTGCAACTTCCTAGTTTTACCACTAAATAATAAGATTACCACGTGGTCAGCCTTAAAAGCACCTTTCAGAAAATGTATCACACTAATAGTTTAAACTCAAAGCCAAGGTACTGTAGCTGTAAAAACAATTAATAGAATAGGGAAGCCAGTCATTGCTTTTACTTCTCACTCGCCCTGACTGGATCGGCGTACTGTTTTGAAGCAAAAAAGTTGAGATCATTCTCAAAAGAGCTTCCTAGCCATCGAAACAAAGATTTTCTGTGCACTGATTCGATCTGAGAGCCACAAGAAAGCCAGCCATAAGAAAAACACGTTTTTTGCACTAATTTTAAAATTTTAATAGCGACAAGTACGGAACTTTGAAAAAGCATTGTATCAAAATCTTTACAACTTTTTATTGCTAAACAACAATACTTGAATGGGACAAATCATGAACACAAAGAATAAACTTTCATTTCCGAAATCTGCATGGCGCATTTAAGAGAATTCTTATCGATCAAAAAATCATTTTTATTCCGGCTACTTTTGATTTGGACGTTTCTGCAAATCAATGAATTTTCAACGCGAACGTAAACCATTTGCCGAGAGCTAAAGGAAATTTTTGTTATTTTTCCTAGGAACATTTGGGTGGGGAATCTTATTGGAAACGTGTCAAACAATTTTTTTTTGTTTGAAAATTTGCCAAAAATTTGGTCGCCAAAATGGGCTTCGGGTCTCTCATCGCTCCTTTCTGCTTTACGCATTCAAAAAAGGCACTTTATAGGGTTCAGCATTTTAGTCGTTCAGCATTTTAACCAAGCATTTTTTCCCAAAACTAACCACAAATTGATCCAATTTTTTGAGTGATTTTGATGGCTTCCATGAAATGGGAGCTCCTGTTAAAAAAGCGTTTAAAAATCTTGTAAGAACGATTAGAAAGAGTAGCTTTTAGCGTTCTCAAATTGATAGTTGCTTCAATTTAAAATTCAACTTAATCTTCAGTCATTTGAAATTTTCAACTACTCGAAAAAGCGCCGCCTTCACTTTTTGAAAGTTGGTCCACCTCGAGGTCGGGCCTGAAAAATGACATGTTTTAAATAAATCAAAATTGAAAAGATTTTTCATTCTAATAACGTTTTTTAATTTAGGTGTCACTAATGGAAAATTTAGTCAAGTAAATTGTGAAAACTTTTGATTTGATCTTTTGAATAAAATTTTACTGCCTCTTCACTCCTCAAAAAGTGAGAAGTGAGAGAAAGGGACGGATACAAGCGGATTCTGTCATTTTTTCTGTTTTCTTTCATTCTACTACTTCTAGTGAGTACTCTTCGTACTTCAATTTTCTCCGTTCGTTTCTTTTTTCAGCTTTTCTTGGGCTACTTTTGACACTCCGCCGATTCATCCTTACCCCATTTTAGAAGCTTTGATATTTTCGTGAAATTTCTTTGTTAGCTGCACAGGTGGGCACTCAAAACACGGCAGAAAAAAGCTTTTAGTTTTGCTTTGTTCAATGCCTTTGTTAAATTGCTTTTTTCGATTGCTTTTTCTGAAAAAGCTTCTTATTCTACAGCTACAGTCTGTTCCGATTGCTTGTTCAACTGTTTGTATTCTACATCTACAGTTTGTTCTACCCATTAAATGGGGAAAAAGTCGGCTCGAGTCAGGTAAAATTGCTTTTAGGCTGTTGTTTTAGCTTACTTTGTTATTTGTTAACAAGAGAGATGAGAAGAGAGACAAACAACGACAAACAAGAGAGACAAACAACTGACATGATAACCACTGTGGGCATCCTCCATTCATTTAATCCACTCAACAATGACAATTTTTTTTCTTTTCCTCTGATTTTTATTGACTCTTGTAAGCCTTGTGAAGAAAGTGGCTCAAGTTTGAAACCTAAGTTGACTAAATTATGTGAGGGATTTTTTAGTTGGTAAAATACCAATTCCAGAAAGATTTTTTCAGGGCAAATTTTGGTTTGATGGCTTAAATTGCAACAAAGTTTTTGGTAAGACAAAAATATGCTAAAATCCGCTACTGTATATACAAAATACAATTGCTAGCATCAATTTTTTGCGAGTGGTTTTAGTTTTGATTAGTTTCGAAATATGGATACATAAATTTGTGCTTAAAAATCCCGCAAGTAAAAC